CATTACTCGTGAGCACATATAATTAAGTTTTTGAAAATCCCATCCACCTTTCAGGTTCCAACTCAAACGATCTCTCTCCTGGGAAGCTGCCTGGATTCCCAGTAGCCCTGACAGACACCCTCCTCTGTGACTGCCCCAGGCCCAGCCCATCTGGAAGTAGAAGGGATGGGTCTTTCTGCCCTAGCCAGCCTGGAAGCTCGTTCCTGAGGCCAGTGGCCTCCCTGGGACACACACACAGAGCCCCACGAGTCCTTCAGGCCGTGGGACTCAGGCTATACCTTCCCCAAGTTTTGGCCCCACCTCCAGGACTGAAAATCACACCCTTTTGTCCTCTCAGCTTGGTCAATTCCCCCAAGTCCCTCATATACCAGGGAAGAAATCCATTCAGTGAGGGATCCCCAATAATGATGGAACCCCAGGTGTTCTCCAGAGGGGCCCTCCTAGGAGGCTGGGGAGCCAAGATGGATGGGACACACCAGCCAACACCTGTCTCGGGCTTCTTCCTTAGAACATGTGTATACTGGGGTGGGGGTGAAAGGTTCTATAATGTTAAACCAAATTGGCAACATTTTGAGGAGAGGGCCCTAACTCGTAGCCCAGCACCCTGACCCTGCTGGCGTTTCCTGCTCACTCAGAGCCCAGGAGAAGATGCTCCCAGACACAAGGCCCCACCATGGGCAGCTCTGGCTTCCTAGGTCTGGGCGGGGCCCTGAAGCCCTCGCCTGCCCTCAGAGCCGTGGTTCCTGAGCCTCCAGCTGCTGCCCAGCATCTAGCCCCCAGCCAGGGTCAGAAGGAGGAGGCGGCCCTAGAGGGGACCAAAGCCTGGGTGGAGGGCGGGAGGAGCGTGTACTGCAGATGACAGGTGGTGGGGGAGAGGGGCGCTAGCTCTCCTGGGCCTGGGTGTTCAGTCACAGGGGCCACTGCTGCCGGCAGCCCGCTCCCAGCCATTCCCCATCCTGAGGGCTGGGTCTGCCCTGGGGCCTCGTTCTCCCCTGGACAAATCACCCAGCTCCTGCCAGCTGCCCCGGACAGCACCCTGGGCTGGCCCCTTCCTGCCCTCCGCCCGCACCTGCTTCTCCCCTGGGCCCTCCAGCTTCTGGATGGGCAGTTGGGGCACCAGCTGTGCCTCTTGGGGAACAAGGGCCTCTGCCTGGCTGCCGACCCCTCCTCGCTGCTCTCCCCACAGCCTTGTCGGAGACTCTCTTAGGACACAGACCCAGCCGCACCAGTCCGGCTCCTGCTTGTCCTCACCCTGGCTCTGGACTCCCCAGCAAGGCCCCAAAGCCTCAGTGAGCCCCACTGCTGTTCACTCCTTTACCCTCGCTCCCCTCCACATCCACAGGCCCCCTCCTCCCTGCACACCCCCAACTTCCCGTCCCCTCTCCACTTTCAGCCGCAAGACCCCAGGGGGCTGAGCTCTGCTTGTCTTTTCACCTCAATTTCCTCAGCCTGACTGGTCATGACCCCCCCAAACCAGTCTGACTTAACCCTCGTCGCAGGTGAGTTGCCACCTCCCCCAGGAAGCCCCTCCCCAGCAGGGATTCCCTGTGCTCCCACTGCCCATCCCCCCATTAGGGCACTGAGCACTTGGAGTTGTCACTGTTTGATGTCCTGCTGTCCTCCCTATGCTGCTATGGCTCCACCCCAGGGAGGGAGTGACCCACCAGTGCACAAGGAGCTCGCTGTCTGCAGCTCCGAGGGGCTGCCCCATTCATCAGTCCCAGGTTCACATGGTCCCCGTGGTGTCAGATGCCCTGCTCACCCCAGTCTGAGCTGGGCACTTTTCACTCTCAGCCCCTTTCCCCCAGGAAGGAAAACATTAAAATACCAGCACACACAGAGTCTGCTCCTTACCACATCCCAGCTCAGGGATGTTGGGCAAGTCACCGCTCCTTTCTGAGCCTTACTTTCCTCATCAAAAAGTAGAATACCTCCTTCCTGGGATGCATTTAAGGATCAAGTGGGAAAAAATAATAAACTGCACCCAGCCAATGTTTAGTAAACAGCAGGCATCCAATATAGAACCGTGCCCTTCTTGTTTCCAGATATGCAGCTGCAGCCCCAGAACGGAGGCTCATCTCACCACCAGGGGGCAGTGTTACCCACACCCAGCTCCCAGCTAACTCGCATTTCTAGTGAGGGAGGCATGCAGTTCCCTGAGTCCCCAGTGGGGCCCTCCCTCTGCAGGCCATCAGTCGGCAGGGGCAGAAATTCTGGGTTGCAAGGCAGTGGGAGGGAGCCGTGCCCAGGTGCTAGGGGGGCTTGCCCAGGTCCTGGAGAGAAGGGGCGGTGCTGGGAGGGGGCTTGGGGAAAGTGCGCCAGGAGTGCACAGTGGTTAGAGCAGGTTTGGGAGCCAGACAAGCCAGGTTCGGAGCTGATCCTGCACCTCCTGACCTGACTTGGTGGGGAAGGTAACTCAATGGTACAGCACATACGGAGCATGCATGAGGTCCTGGGTTCAATCCCCAGTACCTCCACTTAAAAAAAAAAAGTTAGACTGACCATCTTACTTGCCCATGGCAGGAGGTAGGAGTTTCTGCAGTGATTTAACTCCCCAGCCAGGATGTGTTTGTCTCTTTGCCAGAGACTGTGTCCTGTCAGTTTGGCCCCACCTACATACTGCCTCAGGGGAGCTGGAGTCTTGCCAGCTTGGACAGTGGTGGATGCCAGGAACCAGCAGCCAAGGGCCTTCATGAAGCAGTGAGCCCAGCTGGCCAGATTTCCCACTAATGATTAAAGCCACAGAACGTCTTAGTGTAAGAGTCTAAGAGAGACACACGATTCCCCGCAGGGGTTCACATTTGTGGTTGGCCCTTCAGAGCTCATGGGCCTTGACTGACAGTCAGTCCTTCAGAGCAAGTGAAGCCTCAGGAAGAGAAGGCCAACCTTACTGCGGGCCTCTCCCACCAGCACCCGGGCCGAGGCGAGAAGGACCCAGCATAGGAATGAGGCCGGAGCACGGGGAGGTGTCACCCCACCCCCACCTCACCACACCCCCACCAGGAGAGAAGCCACGGGGTCACACCCTGCCGCTCCGGGCCCTGCTCTAGGGGGATCTGGCAGTGGCTCCCAGGCCCGGCCATCACTCGGACTCACGGGGAGAGCTCCTTAAAGACGCCCAGGCTCCCCCTAGACCAGCTGCACCAGAATCTCCAGAGTGGCTCTGAGACGTCCTCGTTTATTACTGCCCTGGATGCAGAGGGTCATTAGGTTCAGAAACCTGAACCGAGTGTCCGCTCACATTTCCCATTCTGAGGGATGAGAAGGGGTGATGGTTTTGATGCTCTGTTATTTAAGTGGAAGGATTTTCTATCAGTCTTGACAACCGATCTCTGAACAGTTCCATCTGGCCACTTTGCCAAGGAATCCAAGGGGCACACGTGCACACACACACCTCCAAACACACACAGGCCCACTGGGCCCAGGATCTCACGCTCAGCAGGTTGCCAGGTAACCAGGCTCTGGGGCCTATCACCACCTTGAAAGGGCGCCCAGTGCCCTGGGAACAGTCTTGTGGCCAGTGGTCTGGCGGCCGAGGTGGCTTGTGGCCAGTGGTCTGGCGGCCGAGGTGTCAATGGCTGGTCACAGGTGGCGGGCTGCTTCCCAGACGATCTGCAGGGCCATGGAGGCACAGGGGAGCTGAGCCAGGGTGTAGGCCAGGGAGCGGGTAGGTGCACGCAGCTTGCCCAGGTAGGCCACGGTGTGCACCATGCGGCCCAGGAAGACCACGAGGAAGTGCATCCGGGCGACGAAAGGGTCGGGCCCCAGGAAGGAGTAGACGAGGCCGAGGAACAGGAAGGGGTAGATGGTCTCCATGTCGTTCCGGTGCGCTCTGGGAAGGCAAGGGGTGTAGTCAGCCAGGCAGCAGCTTGGAGAGTGTCCGGGAAGCTGGGGCCCTCTGCCCCAAAGGGCCCCGCATCCCTGGGGATCATCTCAGGGTGCCAGAGTCATGTCCGTCCTCAGGACAAAGAGATACCCAGAGGCAGAAGGGACAGTGACTCCAAGCTGGCGCCTGTGAACAGCTGAGGAAGTGAAGCCTTGTTAATGGACTAGGAGCTGTGAAAGGCTTGTGGTTGGATTTTCTCACCAGCCCCGGGGCTCGCCAGGACCCGGCCCCTGCCACAGTCTCCCGTCTTCCCCGCTGGCCTTGGATGTCAGGTGGGAAAAGTGGGGCTCAGCGGGGTTGAGTCAAGGCTGGGGTGGGGCCTCAGTCCACCTCCGGCCCGTGCTCTTTACCACCAAGAGCTTCTCCGAGGCAGCCCTCCTTCCGAATGCAGGTTCCTGGGCCCTCCCCAGTGGGACGGGCTAGAGCTTATGAGCATGTGTCTGAAGTCCCCGCCTGTTTTATTCTGCCCCTAAATATAAGCAAACCCTTCCTCGTTTCAGAGATAATTATAACAAGAACATCTTCCACTCACTGGAGCCAGCCAATCGCTGAACTCCAGTGAAACTGTCTTATCCGTGCTAGCCTGCTTCTTCCTTTGTTTAAAATAATCGTGTGTGAGTATGTGTGGTGGTGGTGGAGGGGTGGCTGGGTATAACCCCGCCATCAAAAAATGACCAAGAAAGAAAACTCACCACTTCGGCTAAGAGCCGGTTCACATTTTCCATGACTCCTGCTAATGGGCAGCTTCCCCTGGGGAGGGTGGGGACGTCGAGTCCCATAAATTAGAGGCTAAGCAAGCGACTGAAGCCATAGAGGGCATGCTGGAGGCGCAAATAAACTGGAACACAGTGCCCGGGCCATGACCTCCCCCAAGGATAGGCCGCACGTGTGAGGCGTGGGGATGCTGCTGGAACCGAAGCCCCTTCTCTGAGCCTTCCAGCTGGAGTGCATTTCACCAAAGCTGTGCCGACAGGCCAGGCCCAGCCCAGCAGCCCCTGTGTGGGGACATGCCGCAGAGTCCTCCTCTTCCCTCCCAGGGCCATGGTATGTGGATGCTGAGGAATTGGTCTGGGCAGGGGGGTGGCCTGGAGCACTCAGCAACTCAGTGCTGAGGGTAGGGTGTCTGCCGAGTGACCTACACCGAGTGCAGGTGTAGTCAGAGAAGGAGACATCGGTGCTGAAGCCTGAATGAGGAGGGGCCATCGGCACAGGGGAAGAACTTTCCTGGGAGAGGGATTGACATGTGCAAAGGTCCTGAGGTGGGAATGAGAGTAGTGTGTTCAAGGCTCAGAAAAGTAACCCATGCAGCTGGAGTGTGGTATGCAAGTGGGACAGAGGCAGGACAAGAGAGGGAGAGGAGCATTGTTAAGCAGGATAAGGGGTCTGGAATTCAAACTGGGTACAAAATCTCCCATAAATCCAGCAGGGCCTGGATCTTTCTTAGGTCAAACTCAGGACACATCAGTTGGTGTCTTCATCCCCATACCCTGGAGCCAACGTGTGACTTCCTTTTCCTTTTCTCCCAAATCTCGACCTTGCGACTCAGCCCCATTGAAAGCAAGCCTGAGGCAGGGCAGGGCAGGTTTCACCAGCTGAGAGAAATACTGCTGGATGCTGACGTCAGAAAGGCATGCCCTGGCCGGGTCCTGACCGCAGGGACGAAGAGGGGGAAACTGAAGACCAGGGCCACTCCAGTTTCCCGATGAAGCAAGGTTCCTAGCTGGGAGTTACATGGGAAGAAACGGCAACTGGTCCTCTAAAGTCACACCACCCTATGGAGATGCAGCTGTGTACGCCAACATCCTCCCATGTGCTATTAGACACCTTAGAAAACCTATTTTATGTTAAGTCAGTATGTCCCAGAATGTAGTCTGCCCACCACAGGTGACTCATGAGATGGTGTCACCTGGGAGTATTTTTGTCATGTTATACATTTCTCAGAAAGTTTCTGGAAGAGCATAACTAGCATACGAAACCCATTCATGCAGACATTTTTCCTTAAAGTATGTATTTACACTTTAAGAATGAGTCAGGTTTTAGAAAGCTGTTAGGAGGATCGCTGGCCAAACCCCTAAGCACAGGTGATGGAAAGAAGTTAGGGGACACAGGGCGGAGAGGAGGGGTAAGGATGGGAGATGATCCAGAGGTGGGGAGGGGCAGCCCCACCTCCTGGCTCCAGACACTGGGACTGGAGGATTCAGAGGTCACCATTGAGGAAGGAGAGGTGTCTGGGAGCCGACAAAGCCCAGAAGCGCTGACTCTCAGCCCCGAGCTGCCCAGTGCCCTCTACCCCTCCCCTCCCCTCCCCGGGTACATCTCAAACCACAGCCTGGCTCCCACGAAGCCACAAGTGGTGACAAGGACAGAGAGACGTGGGGAAATCAGGGATGATGCAAGAAAACTCATTCCCCACTCTCCACCCCAGGATCTGAATCGAGAGGCATGGAGGGAGTCACGTACCAGAGATGCTTGGGCAAAACGTGTCATTCCAATAATAACCCTCTTTTAAGGTGAAAGTCACTCAAAGCAAATTCTCACTAGACTGGACTTGCATGACCTCCTGTAGCATCAGGCCTGCCCCTCCCCCTCAACAGACATTGCAACACCGCAGCCTTTTACCACATCAGGTGAGACAGCCACATGGGGAGAGAGTCCCAGTCCCCCACCCCCTGACAACCCTGGGGCCTCCAGGGCAGGGACAGCCGCCAGCAGCCACACCAGCTCCCTCCTCTTCCCTCGGCCGTGCTGTCCATCCATATAGGTGATTTCCTAGAATTCAGGTTTGCTACAACACAAAGGCTGCTGAGTTTTAAAGGCAAGTAGAAAACAGAGCTAAATTATGTTCGTGCAGGGGAGCAGTGCCCGAGTCAGACGGCCTGGGCTGGGTGGCCGCTTCGCCGTCAGAGCTTTGTGGCCTCGGGAACCCCACCTGCTCCTCTGTAGGTATGAGCGCTGTCCTCGGAAGGCTGTGGAGCAGGGTGAGTTGGTCCCTCGAAGTGCTTAGAACACTGCCTGTCACCGAGTAGGTGCCCAATTTGCCTGCCATCTTCTTTGTCATTGTTACCACCATCAGCAGCCCTGTCCTGGACACGACTGTTAAAACTTACTTTCACCTCTTGGTTTTTCCAGTCTCCCAACTACCTTCAGACCCCGAGGCCAAATTAATAAAAACCATTTTATGGTGCCGGGTAGAGTGTCAGGCTAGGTGCCTGCAGCTCTGCCGTGGTGATCCTTAGACCCGGGGCCTCTCTCCCTCGCTGGGTCTCTGTTCATTACCCACAAAATGAATGTGCTGCCTGGCGTCTAAGGGACTTGCTAGGGCTGAGATCTGGAGACCCAATCTCCTGACAAACCTCTTCCCTCAGATTGTCTGCACACTGCAAAGAGTCAGAAATATCCCAAAGCTTCAGCCAAGTCTTCCTTCCCCAGGACACTCAGAGGCCCCCCGCACCACAGCTGCATTCACACAAACTCAGAATTTGGCCAAAACACCCATTGCCGGGAGGCTCAGACAGGCATCAAAAAGCAGGCACCTGGATTTCATCATTTTCCTTGATACCTGGTTCCTGACTCCTCCCAGAGCAGGGCTCGCATTTTTGATCCCAGCAGATGCTAATCTGCAAGGCAGAGTTATGCACAAGAACCAAGACCTGCATGCCTTCCTGTTTGTGCAGAAGGCAGCCCTGGTTGCACTAAAAACTCCGGTCTAATATTTAACTCACTCTGCTTCCAGGGCATTTCCCATCAGGTTTCAGCCAGTTCTCCGGTAGCGGATGGCAGGATGTGTGATTCTATGCGTTCTGTACCCACGAGGTTCCATGATGTTAGGTGAAGTTAGAAGGAGGAGCCCCAGGGGCCCAGGCACCCCACGTCTGGCATGGTAAGTCCCAGTAAATACCAGTAGGTGGAAGGTCCCCAGTCAATTAATACTCACTGAACGGATATAAAACATTACTAGATAAGAGGTGCTCAAGAAGTGCCGAATTGAATTTCAGCCACTTGAGCATCAGCACTATAGATGCTGGGTGATTTTGCTCCTCATCATGTCCGTCTCCACTGCCCAGGAGAGTCAAACCAACCAGGTGGCATGAGGGTCACCAGGATGGATCTGTGTGTGGGTGAAGCTTTTGTTCACTAAAGTACAATTAGTGCTGAGCACAATATCCTACACATAGTAAGTGCTCATTAAATGTTGGATGGCTGGCTGGATCGTCCTCATATGAAGGACCATATACTGTAGTTATATTAGAAAGAGTGAAATAGCAAGGAATCTTACTTTCTACTTTCCTGTTTCTGTAATTTTTAAAAAACTACAAGGATATATGTTATTTTCAATAGCCAAGAAAAACATACAGGAAAAACCCCACAGACTTGCTTATAATAAAAGAACTTCTCTATTATTTTTCACTACACTGTCCCACCCATTTCTGCCTGTGACTCATAGGAATATGATAAGAACTATGTGAGGGTTTGTCTCCATCTCACTCCTGTCCAGAAACCCATCCCTACTGCGCCCCATCCCCTGAGAGCACCTCCTCCAGCCCATTGGTGTGGAACAGCAGAGAGGAAGCCGCCAAAATCCCCACCTTTGAGTGGCTACGTGAAATTAACATTTAGTCTCTGATGGAATTTTACGCAGCCCTTTTGGAAAAATCACTTTTTGAGTAGTTATTTACTGACACAGAAAGTGCTCGTGAAACAGTGTTAACTGAAAAAAAAAAAAATCAGAACCCCAAACCGGGTATACAATGCACACCTAGGGTTATGAAAAATATTTAGACATAGAAGACGAATAAGAGATGGAAATGTTAACTGAGATTAGTTTTGTGACTGGCTTTCCCCTTTCTCCTCTATGTATCTTCAGCATTACCCAGATTGTAGGCAATGAGTGGTTCTGATTTTTATAATAAGAAAAATTGTTTTTGATTGACTGGGGGAGACTAAGCATGTGAAAAGAGGTTCCACTTCACTCAGAACAAAAGAAATGCAAAGTGAAGCTGAAATGTGACGTCAGTTTTCACCCATCTTGTTGGCAGGGATCCGTCCACTGAGTTGGCAGGTCATAGAGACACACCTCCCGCACCAGTTGTGGGAGTAGATCTTGCGACCACTGGACAGTATTTCTTACCATTTGATGGCATCCTGCAGTTTCGCTCACACATACACACAAAGGGAAATGAAAGAGGTTTTGAAGAGTTCTGTTCATAACAGAAAAAGACTAAGAAGAGCCTAAATGCCATCGGAGGGGAAGTGACTGGATAAGCTGTCTTCGATCATCCATTCAAGAGACTAATGGCATAAATACTGTAGCATGGATGTAATTAACAAGGCCCCTCTACGGGCTGATACGAAACAATTTCTGTTGTTATGTAAAAAAAGGACAGCATAAATCAATGGATGAAGGGTGATCCTTTGGGGATAGGAAGGAAAAAGCATAGCGCGAGGGTCATAAATGCAGAAAGTCTGCCTCTGGGAAGAGGCACAAGACGCCGGTAACAGTGTTTACCCCTGGAGAGGGGATCTGGGCAGGACCTGGAGGTCAGAGGTGGCAGAGAGACTGAATTTTCACTGAATACCCTTTCTACCTTTATAGTCCTGAGCCATGAGCATGTATTATTTTTCTACGATTAACTAGAAATCAAATCAATGAATAAATTAAAACAGCTTAAGAGGATCGAGAAAGCAGAAGACCTTGGCCCCCTGGGTATCCTCCCAGCCCCTGGTGTTTGGAAGAGGGTCTGAAAGGTCGGGCCGCGTCCAGGTAGAGAGAAAACGGTACTTGCCTGAGGCAGCGTTCCACGTCAGGGTCGCTCCGGCAATACTGGAGGCCTCCGTGTCTCTGAGCATCCTCGGGGTTGGCAAAAGCCTGGAATACATCAGCTGAGAATTACTGTTTGTGAGATGGGTGGCCCGGTCAGCTAGGCCTGCGGCAGTGCAGCCGCACATGCGTCTGTTCACCAGCATCCATGAACTCCTGCTGTGTGCTGGGCGCTGCGGACTCACCGTGAGCAGGACTGCTATAACTTAACGTCTGCGCCCCCGCAAACTTTCGATGTTGAGACCTAATCCCCAGTGTGATGGTGTTAGATGAGCCTGTAGGAGGCGATTAAGTCATAAAGGTGGAGCTCTCCTGAATGAGATTACTACTCTTTTGAGACCCCAGAGAGCCCTCTCTCCCCTTCTGCTACGTGAGGAAACAGCAAGACAGCCATCTATGAACCAGGAAGTGGGCCCTCACCAGACATGGGCTGTGCCAGTGCCTTGATCTTGGACTTCCCAGCCTCCAGAACTGTGAGAAATAAATTTCTGTTCTTTATAAGCCACCCAGTCCCTGGTATTTTGTTACACAGCAGCCTGGAAAGACCAAGAAAAAGGCCCTCCTATGCCTGCTCTTGTGAAGCTCAGTGTAATGAGCCTACGAACTAGAGAAGACCAGATGGTGAGTATTAAGAAAGAGAAGACAGGGTTAGCTTTGAAAAGATTCATAGGAGACCTGACCAAGTCTGGGATCAGAGAAGGCTTCAATGACATTCAAGCTGAGGCTTGAAGGATGCATCAGCCTTAATCAGAAGAAGGGAGAGTTGTAGCATTCAAGGCATAAGGAACAGCATGTGCAAAGGCCTGGGGGTCAGGAGATGAGCACGGATGAGGAATGAAAAACCACATACCCACATGGCTGGAGCACAGACAGCAAAGGACTGAGTTCCAGGATGAATGTGCAGGGGTCAGATGGGGCCCTGGAGGTACCCTATGAATCTAGATTTTGAATTAAGAGCAATGAGAGGGCCTCAACAGGCCCCGGTAGGAAACCCAGCTCCACACAGACTAACTGCAGGTTTCTGAACTTCCCTGAGTCTCAGCTTCCTCATCTGTGAACTCCGGATCAAATGGAGCTCATCTGCCCTGTGAAGAGGGTGGGAGAGGACTGGAGACACCCCAGCACATCGCCTGGAGCCAGGCGGGTGCTGGAGGAACTGTCAGTCTACAGCAGGGACTTGAGATCATACTTAGGTCATCGAGGGCCCTGCTTTACACATGACAATCACACCCATTGCTCAGGCTCCTCTGTTCCCCGCTGGCATCCAGCCCCACCAACCACACAGCAAACCTGAATGTGTACAGCACGGTTTCTAAATTGCTCATTCAGTGGCAAATCCTGCTGCCTCTGATTCACAAGCCCTTGTGACATCTGTCCCCAAGCACTGGTTTGTCCTGCCTGGTGGGTCTGCCCCTGCCTCACCCCAGAGGTGAATGCCACCCGGGCATGATGGCTCTCACAATCAGGATCCCCCACAGCCAGAACTCCTCTTTGCTGGCCCTTAAGTCACCAATTCTGATGGCTCTGTACAGAGTCCCTGTGCCTGGGACACCCTTCAAAAGGTCTAGGCACTCAGCGGCAGTGGTCTTGGGCGTCCGCAGTCCATGGGATTGCTCACCTCTGAGAACAACTTGAGTACAAGTCACCCTGGTGAGAACCAGCTGTAGTGCGGGCGGGAAAAGGCCGAGCATCACAGGCTGGAGCAGGGCCGGCCAGCCCTTGGTGGGGCAAGGGGCGGGTCCCGGGTTGCACTCCCGCCAACAGATCTGGGGCCATGCATGTTTCTTCCAGTTGTTATTAAGTTCTGAGGACTGACGTTGGTGGGACATTGGCTTCTGCGCCAGGAGCTGAGGTCTCCAGGCACTGCGGTGACTATCCCCAGTTTACAAATGAGGAAATCAAGCTCTCAGACTTGTCCAAGATCCCGAGGCTGCTGGGCGGAGGAGCCAGAGACGGCACCTCCCCTCCTCGGTGGAGCTCCCCAGTTCCTCCCAGGCTGACTGGCTGAATGCAGGGAGCAGAAATGAGAGGGAAATTCAGACAGTGGGGAGGACCTGCGACAGCCCGGGGGGGGGGCTTTCCTTCTGCCACTCCCTACTGACCAGGCAGGAAGGCACCCCAACGGGTTTGTCTCCTTCTCTAATCCACATTAAAAAGAAAGTTCTGGGCCCTGCACGGCCCTGGTGAGAACCCCGTCCCCCCATGGCAGGGTGTGGGCTCTGGAGCTGGGCACCTGGATTCAAACCCAGCTCTGTGGCCTTCACAAGCGAGGTCTCCTCTCTAAGCCCAGGTTCCTCACCTGGAAAACAAGCTGAATACGGTCCGCTCTTCCTGCCCCCACCCCAAGGCCGTGGTGGGGTTAACCGCTCAGCTGCATGGAAGGAGTCAAAGGGTGGATGCGGCAGTCCCGCTGCGTGCCAGTACCCCGCATCCCAGCATGGGCCCAGGCAGGGCGAAGTCAGGATGCTCAAGGAGCCTCTGCCTGGGGAGTTATTTCATCTGGGGAGCTGCCCTGCCTGCTCCCCAGTGTCCACCCCCAACACTTCTGCCCCCAGATGCTGGGAGAAGCAGAGAGTGATGTCAGCCTCACCTTGTCTTTGAACTGGACAAAGGGTACAGTCGGAAACAACTCCTCTGCAATACCTGGAGGCTAATCTGCAGTACCCCCGGGCCTCTCTGTGCCTAACAGGACAGCCTGCGAACTTGGCCAGCGATGTCTCTGCTAACAGTCACGCTGGAACTGGTTCTCCCGCCCACCCGCTCCCCCTGGCTTAGATCTGGGCCTCTTTGTTGTTGTTTTGGCTCCAGAACTCGGATTGGTGGATTGGGGGGGGGGAATTCCTCAACCGAGATCTCCGGTGGAGTCTGGCTGGGACCCGGCTTCTGGAGGCTGCCGTGGGGTTGTAAGCGATCTCACGGGCGGGTTGGGAATTTCCACTTCAAGAATTCCCGGCTCCTGTTTCACCGGTTCCCACTCCACCCAAATATCAGATCCCCTGTCGGGGAAGCCGCCAGGTCAGATGGAGGCTGAACGCTGCCTCACGCCACCCTCCGGGACCCGCTGCTCCTTGAGACGCTGACAGAGCTCAGTGGATCTTGTGGAACCTCCCGGTATCAAGAACTTACCTGGTGCCACAGCAAGTAAGTAAATGCTCTTAAAACAGAGGACAAGAAGGTACGCATCTCACTGAAACAGGACCACATTGGAGCCATCCCAAAGGACAGGATAGGCACCTAGTCCCCAGCCTACTCACTCACAGGCTGGCCCTGAAAACTTCTTGGCCAAGTGTCCCATCCCCAACCTTACCGGCAGGACAAGTGAGCGCACGCAGGGCTGGGGTCCCCGAGGGCGGCACGTACCTTCTTCCGAAGCCTCACTTGGCCAGTGATGATGGCCACCACATACATCTTGATGACCAGCAGAGTGCTGCAGAGCAGGAAGGCTGGGAGCACCTGGCCGCTCCCCATCTCCAGGCTGGGGGGAGGCATCTCAGCAGTGGAAGCAGCCGCAGCTCCGGGAAAACAGAGGCAGCGAGCTCTGGCGCGTGGCTGTCTCTGAAAGCAGGGAGGGGCGGGGAGAGCGGCGAAGGAGGCTTGTCTGCACTCAGCTCCCGCCCACTCCCAGCAGCAGCAGTAGCTTCTGCCCTCAGATGCTGGGAGAAGCAGAGAATCTCAGATGCTTAGGTGTCCCCATCCGCCCTGGCCGTGCACCACATTTCTCCAGCAAATCCATAAACACTTTCTAATCTGTTTCCTCAGTCTGTGAAGTGGGGGGGGGTGGTGTGTGGCAGTGCCTGCCTTCTGGGGGGTGCAAAAAAGCCGGGCACTTGGCAGGACCTCCATGGATGGCAGATTCATTGGTCTGTGCCCACCTCCCTGAGGGTGAGGTGCTGGTGTGAGAACCAAGCCGTCTGCCCCCACATGCAGCCTGGACACTTGAACCAAGGCAATACCTACGTTAATGTGACTTTGCTGAATAGTGCTTCCTCCTACCGCCACCCCCCGCAAAATGATGTCCACATCCTAGTCCCCCGAGCCTGTGAATATGTTACTGCACACAGCAAAGGGACTTTGCAGACGGGACTAAGTAAGGATCTTAAAGTGGAGAGTTTATCCTGTTGGTGCGTGTGGAGCCAAAAGACAGAATCAAGTCAAAGATCAGAAGGAAGGATTTATTACTTGCAGCAAGCAGGGGGAGGGGGAGCGTATAGCTCAGTGGTAGAGCGTGTGCTTAGCATGCATGAGGTTATGGGTTTGATCCCCGATACCTCTGTCAAAAAAAGAAAATAAAAGACAACTAACTACCTCCCCCACCAAAAAACAGGACTAGTTTTTTTGAAAAAGTAAGGAGAACACCAAGGATCTTTCCCAAAGCGGTGTCTCCGGAACAGCAGAACTGGGGAGGTTTTAGACTGAGGGTACCTGCATGTCCCTGGAGGGGCCTGAGCAGAGGAGAATTCAGCATAGAATTGGGGCAAAGGTCAACAGAGTCCAAGCTTCAGTTGATTGAAGTCACATGGGACAGAAAATTTCAGCATCATCACCCCTTAGGTTCCAGTGGATCTGGTGGTCAGGCCCCCGGGGCTTAAATTCTACAAAACAGCTCGGGCAAGTGCTTCAGGCTTATCTCATGTTTGCCACTGAAACAGAACTGGCAGTCTCTCCGACTGATTGATTATCTTTGCTATTGTCACTTCTATTGCCTGATAACAGTTTGTTCTTTTGTTCCCTTAAGACACTAATTCAAAGACGGTTCAAGGACTAGTGACCAGGGTTAGATCACAAAATGGCTTAGGCCCCAGATGTCTTCTCTTATGCCAAAAAGCTGTATCTGGTTCTTTTCCTCCAGGGATGACCTATCTTATCTGCTTACAGTCTGACCTGTGCCCCAGCGCAGTAGAGACCAAGGGAGGGCCTGGCCAGAGGGCAGAGACACTGGCCATGAGCTCTGGAGCCAGACTCAGCTGGCATCCCGGCCCAGAGCCAGCCCTCAGTGGCAGCTGTGTGGCTTTGGGCAAACAGTTTCCCTCTCTGAACCTGTTTCTTCACCAGGAGGGAGACTTGGAAACCCTTGATCTTGCTGTTGGGGGCAGTAGGATGGGGAGAGGGGTGAGGATAGGGGTGGGGAGGTGAGGAGATAGCTTCCTGTCTATTTGTGTATGCCAAGCCTTCCTTTATCTGGACCAAAAAAATCTGTTTGTAAACTAACACTTGTGTTTCTGAAGCATGAGGCTGCCAGACTGGGTTGTCCTAACCCCATGAGATAAATGGCAGGTCACAATCAGGGACAGACTTAAGAAAGCATTGGATGTCCCGGAACATGTTGTATCTCTGACAGTAGGTCCAGAGGAACTGTGCTAGCTTGCTCCTTGCTGGTGTTTCTGTCCGAGAACAGAGGATGCCCGCCTCTCTCTGGCCCCCAGCTCAGGGGAACCACTAGATGTGGCTGTCTTCTTGGTCAAAAAGCTCAGTTGTGGGGCTGGGGTCTCTGCACCTCCCCCAGAATCATGGACCAGAGACAGGCCAAGAGGTGACCCTTGTGTCCATCCCTCCCTGGACCAGCGGACGTGCTCTGCCCTGCGTGGTCTTCTAAAACAGCAAGACAGAAACCTCACCAGCAGAGGCTGGGAAAGCCAGTGTGGGCGAAGGGCGGATTATTACCTACTGTTACCTGCAGCCAAAAATAAGAGGGATTTTGTAGGGAAGCCCTTCTGGCCAGTGTATGTGACTTCATGGTCGGAAGCTTTTCCTCATCGTCTGCTGAAATGAACCAGCTAAGCCAGGGCCAGGCAAGGACAACAAACCCTTCTCTGATCTTTGGCCAAGAATTTCCCTAAAGCCTCCCTCAGTCAGTGAAAGTTTGCCGTTGTTGCTTTTGGAGGTGGTGGTGGTGACGGTGGCGTTACTTTTCACTGAGCTCCAGTTACGTTCTTTGCTTGTAAGACAGGATCGGTGCCCCTGGGGATTGGGCAGGGGCTGGTGGTGCTCATGATGGGCCCGGCTCCGGGTCCTCCAGAAAGTACAGTGGTGCCTGCACAAAAATGAGGGCAAGAGAAGGCCCTGAGTCCACCCCGAGAGGAGGCCTCCAGGGCGTTGGAAATGTTTTATATCTTGACCTGGGTGGTAGTTACACGAGTGGATGTGTACATAAAAATTCACTGAGCTGTATAGTCAAGATGTGTTACTTTAGAGTATCAAATAGAACCCATAAAAGTTCTCCCTTCCCAACTCTACAACCCTGAGCAGAGAGCAGCTGCTTGGTCTGAGCCGTCTTCCAGCTCACCCGCCCTGGCATTTCCTGAGGATCAGAGCCCCAGCTCTTCACGCTGTTTAATTGTCTGTGACTTCAGAGGAGACTTAGAAGAGGAAATGGCCCCACCTCGGCAGCTGGTTCCTGACCTCGGTGAATATCGCCGGGGCTTGCTCCAGCCAGGGATGTGGAAATGCAATGATGAAAAAAGAAAGAGAGACTGTCACTGAAGTGACCTTTTAAGTCAGGTTTGTGTTGTATTCATCACCGTGGCATCAACCCTCGTCAGAGAAGCAGTGTTTGTGAAATGTGGTCTGCGGTTTACGGGGGAGGCAAACGTAGATGAGTGAGTTTTCTGACGGCTCTGCAGCCCCTCCTGGGGCAGAGGCCCACCAGGTAGGACCCCTGGATTTCCCTTGGGATAAGCAATTCAATGAAGGACTGTTTTCGTCTGCCAGCTCACCTCTCCCTCCTACCTTCCCCTGGGAAATCATACCCATCCTTTATTTTCCTTGTACCCCTGTTGCCTGTAATTTTGTTGGGGCAGCCAATCAGACTACTGCATCTTCTTAGCATAGGGCAGCCATGTGACCCAGACCAGCCAATCACAGTGTTCCTGGCATCTGGGCACTGTAATTGGTCCAAGCAAAGCCAATCAGAGACCTTCCCTGGCAGTGTATATTCTGACACTGATATAGTGGTCTGTCTCTGGCTCCAGGATGGGGCCCTGGGATGGTGTTGGCCTGAAGCTGTGTGCAGCCATTCCCCCTCCCCACATGAAGGAGGCTGTATTCTGGAGGAGACAATGAGGCCCCAATCTCTGGCTCACCCAGGCCTAGGAGTCTAGGTGTTTCCTTCTTTCTATCAGTCAAGTCACATCCTTGCTCTGCTCCAAACTCTGCAGTGGCTCCCGCCTCACTCAGCAAAAGCCAAAATTTGGACAAGGCCGGTGGCCCTATCCCATCCGGTCCCCATCTGGTTCTCTCTGTACTCCTCTTTCATTCCTTCCTCCCCTCAGCCCAGTCATACTGCCCTCCTTGCTGGTCCTCAGACATACCAGACACTGTCCTTTGTTTGCTCTGGCTCATGCCTTCACCTAGAATTCTCTTCCCCTAGGCATCCACTGGATTGACATCTTCAAATCTTTGCTCAAATCCCACGTTCCCAAGGTAGCCCACCCTGATCACCTTAATCAGTTCTGCAGCCTGTCCCCACCGCAGCGCTCCTGATGCCACTTCTCCACTTCGACTTCCTCTTTTGTTTCCATAGCACTTATCAATCCCTCAATGATACAACATATAATTTATTTAGCATCCTGTCTACTACTTGGCTTCCTAAGGCGGGGGGGGGGTCCTGTTCTGTTCACTGTTCACTGATGAACCACAAACATTGGTCCCGTGTCTGACCTATAGACACAACTAAAATCTGTTGAATTGAATAGAATTGATCTGAATTACGCTCATTTGATTTGAATTTCTTTTGTTATAACCAAGAGTCTAGACCCAGATGAGTAAAAGTCTCCAGAGTCTGGTTCTGAGTCCCAGCTCCAGCCTGCCTACTTCTCTGAATCCGCTCTGTGTCTCCAGGTGTGACTGGCGGCCTGGCAGGCTGGAACCGAAACAAGATAACTAGGGCATGGCCCCCAGGGCACTTCCTTTTGGTAACCATTCAGTTATGACTGGAAAGAAGGCGTGACTTTAAATTTAGTTAGTTTGCATGTTGACAGCACAAACACTCATCCAGCAGTGTAGACCCGGTAGCTGACATTTGTGGACAAGGATAAATGCTTAAGACGGAAGCTGCCCGTCAGTGAACCAGGCTGATTTGGGGCTGCAGGCCAAGTTGTCTGCCTGGGCTCCCAAGCCCAGCCTGACCCCTGATACCCATTCCTGAGACAGCCAAGACTGTCTTCAGGGATGCTGCCAACCCACTTAGGCACAGCAGTCAGATGGGATGATGGCCATGGGGTCACTGGCATCACCCTCACACCGACCCTGGGCCAATCACAGACACCGTGGTATCTACCCTCCCAGGAGGTATGACTATTAGACCCATTTTCGAGATGCAGGGCCTGGGGCCCAGGACAGTAGTTGTACTCGCCCTGGGTCCCACAGCTGGGCTTTGGCCAATGTGAACATTCTTGACACAGAGGCAGTGGTGTGCCAGCTGTGGGGCTGTGGGCCCAGACCCACAGGAACTGGTTTTGGTAGACACTCAAGAGGCAACAATTGAATGTGTAATTTAAGGTCCCTCCCACTTTCTCCATGCTTCCCAAAGTCAGGAACTTCCCCGGGAGCTCTTCCTTTCTTGGGAATGAGG